ATAGCAAAAACTTTATGCTCAAGGCAAATATGATCACTAAATACGTGTTAAACAATATTTACTACAATTTAGTTGTAGTCGTATTCACACTGTTTTTCTCATCAATGATTGCCTCATATTTAGACCCCAATAGTGGTTATAATATAATTAGTCTCATATTTTGGTCAATAATCCTGGTCAATTGGTCCGTAAGCTTCTACACGATATTCTGTATAATTATTATACTGTGGTATATATTGTCACTGTACCTTAAGCTTAAATACACCCTGATCAATGAACAAATTAAGTTATGTGTTAAGTATAGTAATAAGAGATTGTTATTTAAAACTATTAATGAACACAAACTTTGCACTCAAATCACCTTAAAATGTAATGAATTTTTCAAGTATATAATTTTTATAATCTACTATTTGGTGACCCCGGGTATTGAGATCATATTGTATTTATCGCATTCAAACGACACGCTAATATACGCGAGATTTATAACATGTTTTGTATTTATAAACACTGGTTTAATGGTGTACATGGTTAATGTGATCGGGGTATCCGTGAATAAGTCAGCCAATATGTGTAAATCTAGTTTATATTCATTTTTAGTCAAAAATAATCTAAATTTACGGCAAAATCTCAAATTAAATGCTTTCATTGAGAGTGTGAGTCGACTGGACATTGGTTTCTATTGCTATGACTTGTTTCCTATGAATAACTACGAGTTCTATGAATACTGTTATATAATTGCAAAAAATTATTTCTTAATACTCCAGTTGTTTAATACTAGTTTGTGGCAGTAATCGGATTAAACTATAATTAGTAACATACCTAAACATATAGTGAATCTATTATAGGGTTGTATTGAATACACTACTGTCAAATAATAGTTACATTTTGTTAATACTGTAATAGGATTATTTTATAATGTATGCTAATATTGTGAATACACTTTTCAGATCCTGTATTGTAATTTTGATTTTTAATGTTATTAACTTTCTATCGACTATTTCAAATGCTATTTATAAATTTAAATTAAACTTTGTACAGTAGTGTATGGTAAATCATATATTTTTATTAGTAATAAAATATCAAATAAAAGTTAATGTATTTTTTAGTATATGATTTAATGATAAATATGAAAAATAAAACTCATTACCAAGTTATGTTACATCATTAAACAAATAATAATTAGATCAAGTATAGTGGGTATAGTAAGTTCAATATAGTGGAGTTCATAATTGAGTATTGATTTATTAATTGGTTTTATTAAAATTAATTTTAAAAAAATTAAATTTTAAATTAAAAAAATAATTTATTAAAACCTTCACAAATTTTCCACAAGAATAAGTGTCAAAATAATTATTCATTTCTATAAATATTTGTTTGAAATACCTAGGGAATATTATTTTACTTTTGTGCCAACTAACATTAACTAACACAAAAATTTATAGTACAGGTAAACGTGTGATCAGTTTAGTACTGCACCATTATTTAATAATATTGTATATCTAAAATACGTTTACTAGAGGACTTTCATAATGGTATAGAATAAATAACTTATTATCTTATTCAGGGTACATTTACGTCTGTATCTCATTCCCACAGACTGTACACACTTTAATAAATCGATTGAATACTTATTATAAATAATTATCAAATACTTTAGCTCACTATATCTATTGGGAAAGTAAAACATATGATAAGAAACACTAATAAATACTTAGAAATAAGTGCTTTATTTAGTCTGTAAGTGTATGGCAACAGTAAGCATGGACAAACATTTAATTTATGTGTTTTTACAAATTTGCTTTACCTTATTCGCTATTACCGGTATTTAAACAAATTTATTATAACTCCTAGTAAGTAGTATTTAATTATTATGTTTTTTAAACAGTCGGCGCCCGACGGGAATGTATCATAAGAAAAGTGAAGGACGCGGACACAGTCTGTGTCTGTAACCAAACATATTGTGATGACTTCCCGGCCCTCAAGCGCCCAAAGAGTGGTTTCCTAACGGTTTATGAGAGCAATAAAGCCGGAGAAAGGTTTAAGGAAACAGAACTCCAGTTCGGCTCAACCATCGACTCAACGGCCGACCAAACGGTTGTCGTGACTATCGATAAGACACAGAAATATCAGACAATCTTCGGATTCGGCGCCGCCTTTACGGACAGTACGGGACAAATGCTGTCGTCTGTCAACCAATCGTTGGCTGATCTGCTGATTGATAGCTACTTCTCAGACAATGGCATCGAGTACTCAATGGCCAGAATACCCATCGCTGGCACAGACTTCTCGGACAGACCCTACTCTTACGATGACGTCGACGGGGATTTAGAGCTCAAACATTTTGCACTTCAAAAGGAGGACTTGGAGTGGAAAGTATGCAAAAACTATAAGATTTTATTTAACAGTACTTTGTATTCAAAACTAATACATAATAACTGATCCGTAGATCCCATACATTCAAAGAGCACTGAAAGTAAGTCCGCATAAAATAAAACTCTTCGGCAGCCCCTGGAGTCCCCCCTCTTGGATGAAGACTAACCACAAGTTCAACGAGAGTGGATTCATAAGGGGTGACATCGGCGGCGAGTACTACCAGTCGTGGGCCAACTATTTCGTGAAGTAATTTGCAATTCATATATGCATTAAACACATCCAAACTCTTACCCTTGAGTTTACCACAGATTTCTGGACGCATACAAATCGCATGACATAAACCTATGGGGGGTTACCGTCGAGAATGAGCCGCTAGCGGGGCTGAACCCTAATTACTCGTTCAACTGCCTGAACCTAACCGGCCCTACGGAACGGGATTTCGTGAAACTCAATTTGGGTCCGACCCTCGCGAAGGCCGGGTATGGTAGAGACAAACTGCAACTCATGATATACGATGACAACACCAACACTTTAAAAGACTACGTGAAGCCTATTATGGGGGACAAGGAGGCAGCAAAGTACGTGTCCGGCATAGCCTATCACTGGTACGGCAATACACCGATGGGAGGCTTTCCCGACCAATTCCTCACCGAAGTCCACAAAAACTATTCCGAGGTATTCCTACTAAACACAGAGGCCTGTCATCTGGACGGCCCTGAGCTCGGGCGCTGGGATTACGCCGAGAGATACGCCTACGATATCATTAGGGTATGTGCGCCTGGTACCATTTAATTATCTAGGTGTTGTTAATTATGTATTATTTATGTAGGCTTTGAATAATTTTCTGTACAGAATATTCTTGACTCTCATTCGTGTCATTAAATTGTTTCACGTGTTTATAGGCTTTGAATAATTACGTGAGGGGTTGGGTGGAGTGGAATATGGCACTGGACATGGATGCGGGACCAAGGTGGAATGAGAAAAAGGGCTACGGGGGTACTTTGAATATAGACCCGGCTAAAGGGGAGGCCTACAAACAGCCCTCGTTTTACACGATCGGACACTTCAGTAAGTTTTTGTCACCCGATTCCGTGCGCATCGGATATACTGTCGACAAAACGATTGCCAACTTCTCGGCGGTTGTCGTCCAGAGACCCGACAATCAAACGGTTTTGGTGGCACTCAATGCCCGCGCCGACGATATTGTGCTCACTATCCAAGAGTCCAGTCGTAAGGTCTCGCATCCATGTCCAGTGCCATATTCCACTCCACCCAACCCCTCACGTAATTATTCAAAGCCTATAAACACGTGAAACAATTTAATAGTTGTCGTCCAGAGACCCGACAATCAAACGGTTTTGGTGGCACTCAATGCCCGCGCCGACGATATTGTGCTCACTATCCAAGAGTCCAGTCGTAAGGTCTCGCATACAATACCCGCACATTCTGTTCAGTCGTATATTTGGTGAAAGGTTTATAAGTTTTTGAGTCAAAGAAAAAATATTAGTATTAAAATTATACAAGAATTTTGAATAAATAAATTATTCACAAAATATTTGTTTTGTATCACGATGTTTAAAATCAAAATTATTTTAGTCGAAAGTGTTTAAAAAATTATTTACTTTAATAATCTTGCTAACTTACTATTACATAAACACCAGTTTTATCACTCTATCACTGTACTAACAATTTCGTATAAATACAATACTATAAATAATACATTTTAATAATTTAAATAAATATTTTTGTATAACTTACTATGGCTACAGTATTTGGAATTATGTAAATAATTATTTACTAATTAATTATTAAATATAATTCAAAATTTTAAATGAAATTTTAGATGATAACTGTTTTAAGAATAATATAAAATAAATAAAAATAATAGTATAGACAGAGTCTGGTAAAAACAAGCTCATAAATACATTGCAATAATCTTATTAAAATACATATGTTTAAATATGTTTTAACAAAATATTTCAAACAATTATGATTTTAATATGATAAATATTTATGTTATTTTTAAAAAGCTACAGTAATTTAAAACATACACGTTTATTTATACACTTATTATCCGGTGGACTATATTTTGCAAAATATTATTTGTATTTTAAGACAATTACATAAAATAGTTTGCTTTTGGGACAGGGATTCATATAATATTTTAGTGGTCTCTCAAAACAATAATTATTTCAAACCTTATAAATCATATAAATATATTATGAACTAAATATTTTTTCTTAAAAACAAACAAATAATACATTAAAAAATATAATTTCTATCAAACATAACGTGTTAACTAAACTTTAACAATAAATACAATTGTTTTATACTATATTTCAAATTACAAAAAAAATATTTATTCAAAACAGTTACAAATATTTAACCAAAAATAGACCATTCAATAGATAAATATTTTTTAAATGCTTAACAAATAGCACGGAGTTTTTAAATACAATGAATGTTAAACAAAATTGTTTTATTAAATTATATGAACCGAATCATTGAGTTAATTCACTCTACCCTACCTTCCCATCCATTTCCTCCCTATTAATACCTTAAATAGACTAAAGATTGCAATAAAATAATTATGAATAAACACATGAAAATGATGACCTGTTTCTACATTTCCTTTAACTTATAATATCTAAATTAAATGCGATATTTATAAATAATAACAATATACAGTTATCTAATGAATAAAAATTACTTTTTAAATTTGAGGTCAAACACAATTACCGTAAATATTTGTGCAAATTATATACGAGTTATGGTATTATTATTAAAGGCATTCAAAAGTATATCTCATTTGAGTCTTAAATACACTTTTCCAGCGATAATAATGTCTTAAATCTGTTAATAAAAATAGCAAAAACAGATACTTTGAACTTCACTTTATTGAACTCATTTCAATATTAAGACATAAATAAAACATTTTCTCAAAAATTATTTTACGATCTCTCGGCAGACATGCAATAAAACTCGTGAATTAATACAACTTTCCGTTTGAATAGAAAATGCTTTAAAATATAAAATATATTACAATTCAGTCGTAAAAACCATAATTAATATGAGGTAGAAATGCATAAAACATCTGTATTTATAGATATAATATATTTATTATGTATTACTTGGAGATCCCATAATAAATATAGCAAATCATGAGATATAATAATTATTATAATAAGTATTTACTTTTGAAACAACATTTGAGTTGTTATTTCAATATTTTATATATCAATAGTAATTGTATTTTACAAATATTTTTTACTTTAATTATTATTATTGTATTATTTTTAGGGTCAAAATGATGGGACAGAAAAAGTAACACAAAATATTTTCTGTCAATAAATTGGTTTCATTTGTGTTACAAATAAACACATTTTATTACCAAAGAAAAAGTATTTCAATGAATAAGTCATAAAACAAATACTACTGAATATGTTATATAAGTGTCGCTTTTGGGGTAAAAGTTTTATTATGTTTTCAATTGGAAACTAATTTTCATTTCTATTTTGTATTCAAAAATAGTTTTTGATTTTTTTTATCGCATTTCTTATGTAATCTTGAGATCGAAATAAATTAAAATTTTTAAATTTATATCATATTAACGATAAACTAAATATTTATATACAAAAGCATTGATCGATTGATATTCAAATCGCAATGCATTTATACATTTAATATACAATTTCAATATTAATTAATTGAATAAAATTAAAAATCAGATAAAATGCTTAACGAAAACTAAAAATAACTATTTATTCGCAGTCCTTAACACTGAACTAAATACTCGACTCAAATGTATAGTTATTTTTGTATTACTTTCAGGAATCGGAGGCAAAAATATTTTTGTGTCAAACACTCGATTAAAACCCCAAAAAACAACTTTTAATACAAAAACAACTTTTAATACAAAACTTTATTTATAAAAAAAATACTTATCGATACTTACGGCACAAAATTGGGTATAATCTGGTAGACGGGCACCGGTTTGGGCACCAGGTATGGCAGCTTTTTAGGTGGCAGCACAATTGGCGTGGACATTTTACGGATGACAATGGGCAGAGGTAGGGGCACCGGGAGTGGGATTATGTTTTTCACACGTATCGAGTGTAGTAAACCGAGAGCCAGCAACTTTTTCTTCAGTTTAATAGCCGATGATAAGCTGGCTATTTGTAGCACCAGTAGTATCAACACAAATGACTTGATTATGCCGTAGAAATTCATGGCTATGGGTGTCAGTGGCTTAAGATTAGGTGATTTTTATAACATATTATGGGATGAGAAATAGTTTTGTATTAAATAGTAAACTGTTTTAAAACAAATGCTTATATCATAGGAGATGTAGTTTCGTATGAAAGAGATTAATGAATCAAAAACTTTTAAAACAAACACTTCTTATAAATCATTCACAAAATGTAAAAAACATTTTCATATCCGAAGTAATCGTATTGTGTTTTTAAAGTGAGACAAAAAAAACTGTTTTATATTTTGTATAACATTTTGTTTCTAGAAAACAGTCATTGAAAAACATACACAGAAACTGAAGCACCGGTAGGTAAGTGATGGCAAAAACTATAAGAGGTTTTCCTACATATTTTCGTTGTGACACTATTTTGCACTCAAATATCTATAACTAAACTGAATGTTGAACTGAAACTTACGGCAAGTTTTTTCTCTCTCGCTCTCTATATCTCTCACTCTTAAGAGAGTTTCAAGTTTTCAGGTGAGAGAGAGAGAGAGAGAGAGAGAGAGAGAGCATAGAAAAGTTTTAGGAAAAATAAAATTACAGTATTATATGTAATACGGCGTTATTGACCCTGAATGCTATAATACACACTACATTTTACAGGTATAACTGTAACTAATATAACATTTATAATGTATATATTTATTTTTAGTGAACACATAACCCGAATATTATGATTGTTATTAATACCGCCATAAGTTGTCTTTAAATTATATAATAATAAGTATAAAATTATTTATCTGTTTTTAAAGTTATTACACTTTTTAGGGGAGAGTTTTTGTATATCACTTGTCGTGTTATATAAGTTAAAGGAAATGTAGAAACAGGTCATCATTTTCATGTGTTTATTCATAATTATTTTATTGCAATCTTTAGTCTATTTAAGGTATTAATAGGGAGGAAATGGATGGGAAGGTAGGGTAGAGTGAAATAACTCAATGATTCGGTTCATATAATTTAATAAAACAATTTTGTTTAACATTCAGTGTATTTAAAAACTCCGTGCTATTTGTTAAGCATTTAAAAAATATTTATCCATTGAATGGTCTATTTTTGGTTAAATATTTGTATTTGTTTTGAATAATTTTTTTTGTGATTTGAAATACAGTATAAAACAATTGTATTTATTATTAAAGTTTAGTTAACACGTTATGTTTAATAGAAATTATATTTTTTAATGTATTATTTGTTTGTTTTTTGGAAAAAATATTTAGTTCATAATATATTTATATGATTTATAAGGTTTGGAAATAATTATTGTTTTGAGAGACCACTAAAATATTATATGAATCCCTGTCCCAAAAGCAAACTATTTCATGTAATTGTCTTAAAATACAAATAATATTTTGCAAAANATATTATATGAATCCCTGTCCCAAAAGCAAACTATTTCATGTAATTGTCTTAAAATACAAATAATATTTTGCAAAATATAGTCCACCGGATAATAAGTGTATAAATAAACGTGTATGTTTTAAATTACTATTGCTTTTTAAAAATAACATAAATAGCTTTGAAATATCTTAAAATCATAATTGTTTGAAATATTTTGTTAAAACATATTTAAACATATGTATTTTAATAAGATTATTGCAATGTATTTATGAGCTTGTTTTTACCAGACTTTGTCTATACTATTATTTTTATTTATTTTATATTATTCTTAAAACAGTTATCATCTAAAATTTCATTTTAAATTTTGAATTATATTTAATAATTAATTAGTAAATAATTATTTACATAATTCCAAATACTGTAGCCATAGTAAGTTATACAAAAATATTTATTTAAATTTTTAAAATGTATTATTTATAGTATTGTATTTATACGAAATTGTTAGTACAGTGATAGAGTGATAAAACTGGTGTTTATGTAATAGTAAGTTAGCAAGATTATTAAAGTAAATAAATTTTTAAACACTTTCGACTAAAATAATTTTGATCATTAATTTTAAACATCGTTATACAAAACAAATATTTTGTCAATAATTTATTTATTCAAAATCCTTGTATAATTTTAATACTAATATTTTTTCTGTGAATCAAAAACTTGTAAACCTTTCACCAAATATACGACTGAACAGAATGTGCGGGTATTGTATGCGAGACCTTACGACTGGACTCTTGGATAGTGAGCACAATATCGTCGGCGCGGGCATTGAGTGCCACCAAAACCGTCTGATTGTCGGGTCTCTGGACGACAACCGCCGAGAAGTTGGCAAATGTTTTGTCGACAGTATATCCGATGCGCACGGAATCGGGTGACAAAAACTTACTGAAGTGTCCGATCGTGTAAAACGAGGGCTGTTTGTAGGCCTCCCCTTTAGCCGGGTCTATATTCACGGTACCCCCGTAGCCATTTTTCTCATTCCACCTTGGTCCCGCATCCATATCCAGTGCCATATTCCACTCCACCCAACCCCTCACGTAATTATTCAAAGCCTACATAAATAATACATAATTAATAACACCTAGATAATTAAATGGTACCAGGCGCACATACCCTAATGATATCGTAGGCGTATCTCTCGGCGTAATCCCAGCGCCCGAGCTCAGGGCCGTCCAGATGACAGGCCTCTGTGTTCAGTAGGAATACCTCGGAATAGTTTTTGTGGACTTCGGTGAGGAATTGGTCGGGAAAGCCTCCCATCGGTGTATTGCCGTACCAGTGGTAGGCTATGCCGGAGACGTACTTTGCTGCCTCCCTGTCCCCCATAATAGGCTTCACGTAGTCTTTTAAAGTGTTGGTGTTGTCATCGTATATCATGAGTTGCAGTTTGTCTCTCCCATACCCGGCCTTCGCGAGGGTCGGACCCAAATTGAGTTTCACGAAATCCCGTTCCGTAGGGCCGGTTAGGTTCAGGCAGTTGAACGAGTAATTAGGGTTCAGCCCCGCTAGCGGCTCATTTTCGACGGTAACCCCCCATAGGTTTATGTCATGCGATTTGTATGCGTCCAGAAATCTGCGGTAAACTCAAGGGATAAGAGTTTGGATGTGTTTAATGCATATATGAAATGCAAATTACTTCACGAAATAGTTGGCCCACGACTGGTAGTACTCGCCGCCGATGTCACCCCTTATGACTCCACTCTCGTTGAACTTGTGGTTAGTCTTCATCCAAGAGGGGGGACTCCAGGGGCTGCCGAAGAGTTTTATTTTATGCGGACTTACTTTCAACGCTCTTTGAATGTATGGGATCTACGGATCAGTTATTAATAATAATCCATGAAAAAGATTTATACTGTATAAATATTCTTATTATGTATTAGTTTTGAATACAAAGTACTGTTAAATAAAATCTAATAGTTTTTGCATACTTTCCACTCCAAGTCTTCCTTTTGAAGTGCAAAATGTTTGAGCTCCAGATCCCCGTCGACGTCATCGTAAGAGTAGGGTCTGTCCGAGAAGTCGGTGCCAGCGATGGGTATTCTGGCCATTGAGTACTCGATACCATTGTCCGAGAAGTAGCTATCAATTAGCAGATCAGCCAACGATTGGTTGACAGACGACAGCATTTGTCCCGTACTGTCCGTAAAGGCGGCGCCGAATCCGAAGATTGTCTGATATTTCTGTGTCTTATCTATAGTCACGACAACCGTTTGGTCAGCCGTTGAATCAATGGTTGAGCCGAACTGGAGTTCCGTTTCCTTAAACCTTTCGCCGACTTTATTGCTCTCATAAACCGTAAGGAAACCACTCTTTGGGCGCTTGAGGGCCGGGAAGTCATCACAATATGTTTGGTTACAGACACAGACTGTGTCCGCGTTTACCACTTTTCTTACTATACATTCCCGTCGGGCGCCGACTGTTTGGGAAACATAATAATTAAATACTACTTACTAGGAGTTATAATAAATTTGTTTTAAATACCCGTTATAGCGAATAAGGTAAAGCAAATTTGTAAAAACACAAAAATTAAATGTTTGTCCATGCTTACTGTTGCCATACACTTAACAGGCTAAATAAAGCACTTATTTCTAAGTATTTATTAGTGTTTCTTATCATATGTTTTACTTTCCCGATAGATATAGTGAACTAAAGTATTTGATAATTATTTATAATAAGTATTCAATCGATTTATCAAAGTGTTTACAGTCTGTGGGAATGAGATACAGACGTAAATGTACCCTGAATAAGATAATAAGTTATTTATTCTATATCATTATGAAAGTGCTCTAGTAATTGTAATTTAGATATATAGTATTATTAAATAATGGTGCAGTGTTAAACTGATAAAATTAATTATACGTTTACCTGTACTATAAATTTAGCGTTAGTTAATGCTAGTTGAAGTTTTATATGGTATAAAATTAAAATAATATTCACTAGGTATAATGAATTTCAAACAAATATTTATAGAAATGAATAATTATTTTTACACTTATTGTAGTGGATAATTTTGAAAGTTTTTGATTAAAATCAATACTCCATTAATGAACTCCACTATACTGTTTTTAATATCTCAATTAATAAGTACATAATGACCTAGGTATACAACTGATAAGCACGTTATACTGTAGTATAGTATTCTGTAGTGTGCAAATTAAAGATTTCAATTATTTTGTACATTACTAAGTTCACTTTTAATTAATGCATTAATTAATCGTAAGTAAAATTGCCACAAACTTTGTAAAAACAAAACACCATACTTTTATTTTAAAATAAATTCAAGTAATCCAGTTCAACTAATCACATGTTTATTAATATCCAAAACAATTTATATGACAAAAAATATCTAAAAAATGGACATAAACTCCAGTATTAAGAAGTAATTCTTTGCGACTATAGTTAAGTACTGATAAAACTCGTAGTCATTCATCGGAAACACATCTAAACAATAAAAGCCAATATAAGGTCCAGTGGACAGCCTTTCCACAAACGCCTGTACTTTCAGACTCTCGTATCTAGTGGTCCGGTATTGTGCCAGAAATGAATGCAAAACCCCATAACCCTTATGGGCCTGACGTGAAAACCTGGCGCACATGGCGTTTGCCACGAACACCATGAGCCCGACCACCACCACCTTCCCTCCCAGTGTCAGCCGTACGTACAGATTGCTCTCGACGGACAGGTAGTAGTATAGGGCAAACTCGAGGGTGGGGGTCGACACGTAGTATACGACAAACAGCGGGTATTTGTAAAAGTCGTTCAAACGGGTGGTTAGTTTAGTGAGTAGGTTGTGCTCGATGATGACTTTCATTAGTAGGTACTTATTGCCGGTGCGTACACAGGACTCCAGTTTCAGATTGATTTGCATGAACTGGTACTTGAGGTAACCGGTGGTCAGGTGGCACACGACAAAACACACGCATACTATGGCGTAGGCCTGTGTCGAAAATACGAGAGTACAGGCGCTCCAGAATAGCACGTATAGCAGGCAATAGTCGTGGTTATCGGGGCTCAGGTAGGAGACCATTATGGTGGCGAACAGTACAGCAAACGTTAGCGCCGTTAGCCCTATGAACACACCCGACAGCACGGTGTTGGTCACCGCCGAGCAGTTCGTGGAAAGCCTACTCTCAAGCGTACGGTTCAGTCGTATGCGAAAGCGTCGACACTTGAGATCGTTGAGGAACGGGTAGACTGTGAACGTCCGGCGCCATTCATGCCAATCAAATATGGCTAATATCAATACCAAAGTCATGAATGTCATCGACAGTACCGATGAGATCAGCTTCTCGTCGCCCAAGAGGTACATCCCGTCACTCATGAGCGCCCGTATGTATGGGGCGGTAGGAGCTAAGGTGGCGCACACCATGAATCTAATCATGTATACCATGTGAACCAATCGGGTGATTATGACAGCGATTAGGCGCCGGGTCTCACGTCGACCGGACAGGTAGTCGTCGAATGACAGGGAAGTCATAATATATGTGTTTCGCAAGAATTTCTCGATTGTCTCAATACTGGCCACCAGTTTGTCGCCACTTTTATCGCGTTTAAAGTATTTATTAATACAGTACTTACAGGGTTTTGGATGACTTGTGTCAGGGACATCCCTCACCACTTCCATGTCTATGGGTTTGTGGCTATTTTCTGGCGATATTTTGTTTGTATTTTTAAACATTTTGATCAGAATTTTGATTATTAATGAATTCTTAGTGTTTTATAAGATAAATATGAATGAATAACATTTAAACGTATTTTACAGTATTTTTATAGTATTAAAGTATTTTAAAGTATTTTGGTGTCATTTTTTCACAATCAAAAAAGATTTTTTTTTGTGTAATAAATGTACTCAAAAAAAACTTATACTAACTTAGTATTGATTTGTGTGAATCATTTTATTTACAAAAACAATATACTAGGTATATTGATCTAATTATTATATGTTTAATGATGTAACATAACTTGGTAATGAGTTTTATTTCTAATATTTATCATTAAATCATATAATAGAAAATGCATTAACTTTTATTTGATAATTTATTACTAATAAAAATATATGATTTACCATACACTACTGTACAAAGTTTAATTTAGATTTATAAATAACATTTGAAATAGTCAATAGAAAGTTAATAACATTAAAAATCAAAATTACAATACCGAATCTGAAAAGTTTATTCAAAATATTAGCATACATTATAAAATAATCCTATTATTAACACAAAGTGATTATTATTTAAAAGTAGTTTATTCAATACTGCCGTATATAATAGATTCAGTATATGTTTAGGTATGTTACTAATTATAGTTTAATCCAATTACTGCCACATATTAAACAACTGGAGTATTAAGAAATAATTTTTTGCAATTATATAACAGTATTCATAGAACTCGTAGTTATTCATAGGAAACAAGTCATAGCAATAGAAACCAATGTCTAGTCGACTCACACTCTCAATGAAAGCATTTAATTTGAGATATTGCTGTAAATTTAGATTATTTTTGGCTACAATAATTTAAAACATACACGTTTATTTATACACTTATTATCCGGTGGACTATATTTTGCAAAATATTATTTGTATTTTAAGACAATTACATGAAATAGTTTGCTTTTGGGACAGGGATTCATATAATATTTTAGTGGTCTCTCAAAACAATAATTATTTCCAAACCTTATAAATCATATAAATATATTAT